TACCCATGCGAGATCACGTGTGTGGAAGGGCGACTTCTAAAAATGAGAACGGCGAAGTGGCAAGTAATTGCATGTGCAGTGGTTACTTTCCTTGAACTGACGAAGTGCATGCGAGTTAGGCAAAAAGTAAGAAACGTTTTTTTGTTAAAGGGTGGAGAAGCAGATACAGTGAAACCCCTTTTTCTGTTGAATAAAATAAAAATTAAAAAGTTGCAAAAAAGAAATAATGTGGCTCTACATATGGACAACTCCAACGAGGACACTAGTAGATTGTCTTTGCTCAAAAACTTAGATGACGAATCAAAAGTTATTACGCAGTCTCCAGAATGGAATGAAAAAATGCCCTTAATAGAAATAACCAATTTGCATGCAATGGAAGTAGAAGGGGGAAAAGAAATACTAAAGGGAATAAATCTTACCATTTTCTTAGGCGAAAAACATACCATTATGGGGAGAAATGGCTCAGGAAAATCGACGCTAGCCAAAGTAATAGCTGGCCATCCCTATTATAAAGTTACAAGCGGTACTATGAAGTTTAAGGGACTCAATTTAAATGAATTACCTGTTAATGTGAGGTCACTGTGCGGCATATTTTTAGCCTTTCAGTACCCTGTGGAATTACCAATGGTGAAAAATAATGAATTTTTACGAGCCGCTTTGAATAGCCATCGGAGACAAAGAAACGAACCCGATATCAGTGCCACCGAATTTGACCTCTTGATGATTGAAGAAATAAAAAAAGTTGGACTCAGCTCGGAATTTTTAGATAGACCTGTTAATTACGGTTTCAGTGGGGGGGAAAAAAAAAGAAATGAAATTTTGCAAATGCTAATATTGAAGCCTTCCTTTTGTATCCTAGATGAAACGGACTCCGGTTTAGACGTAGACTCTTTCAAATTAACATCCAATGTTATTACGAATTTTTCCAATGAGAAGAATTCCTTCTTAATAGTTACTCATTATAAGAAGCTACTGGAATTGCTGAGGCCAAATTTTATCCATATCATGCACCAAGGGAAGATTATAGAAAGTGGGGACTATTCTCTCGTGGATAAAATAGAAACTAAAGGATATGCACAGTTTCTCAAGGATTCGTGAGAAATGTGATTTAATGGGGAATAGGGGGGACGCGAACCGAAAACCGTCCTTGCTCATTAATTTTTTTTTCTTTTTTTAAAAAAGATTTAGGAGGGCCTATTTTAAATGTAATATCCTGTGGTGTGATCCCAACTTGTGTGTATTCCACAATTAGGCGGGCACCACAACATTGTGCACATTTTTTGGACTAATTTGAGATATGCAAATAATTATTCGTGCGGAAATAGCTGCCTATGCGACACATCGAATGGACTAAACGTCATTTGATCCAAGCGGTGATAATTCCCCTTTTTTTTCCCATTTAAATGCGCGCTTGTCGGCGCTTTGCAACCCATTTGTGTCTTTATATAATAGACTATTTTTGGTGTTTTACAAAGAATTCTTTTCACCATTTTGTGGAAACGCATTGTTTCAGGCTCCTCAAATGGTTGGCATTTGCCCATCCTACTCGTTTATTTGTCCGCCCCTTTTAAACTCGCCACCAAGAGCGCTTCTAAAAGTGGGAGCTGTTCATAAAATGGATGAATGGTTTGAAAAATCGCCCGAATGGGTCATACCTAAAATGCCAATTTGGTAAAAAAAAAAAATTAGAAAAAATTAAAAAGAAATTAAAAGAGCTAGTCCATTCTGCACACACACACGAAAGCGATGAATAGTGCGTTGTCACTTCCTCCGTTCAGGAAAAAAGAAGGGAGTGCCTTCTGCGCTTTGGAAAGAAGTAGCGTGTAAATTTGCTTAAATTGTAACTACACAGTGAAGGTTGCCATATGTTTCCACATGCTCACATCATGCGTTGAAGCAAAAAGGGGTTTAACCCTTGACACAAAATTGGCTAACTTGTAGCTTGCCTCCGTTACAATTTTGTGTTCGATTTTTTTGTTGCCTGTTTTTATTTCCCTCGTTTTATTCCCTCTTTTTTTGGCCCCATTTAGCTGATCAGTCTGTTTATCTGTGCGCTATATGTAGAAAAGGGGATTCCAAAAAAAAAAAATAAAATAAAATAAATTACACTATGGATTCTAAAGTAAGGGAATACGAGGCACTTTAAGAGGTTCGCACAGAGGCATACGCGTACACATAAACGCGTACATGCCTATATCCATGCATGGCATTAAATGAGCATAAGCGCAGCATAGTCACCACGGCTCTTAACCTGGGGGGGGAAAGGAAAAATGTTCTGTGGAGGAGGGCGATGCGGAAGTAAAGAAACAAAGCTCGAAGAAACAAAAATATGTTTGTATATCATGTGAATAACAACACAATTATATTAATTCTGTTATGCACATTCCTGTATCACGTGAAGGCTGAAAATGTGAAGAATGCAAACTGCCAAGGAATAAGCCGTGTAGGACGTTTTAATTATGGGTATGCGAAAAGAAGGAGACGGCTGGACGGGGAACACTGCAAAGGTAATTTCAAGATAACGGGAGAAGATCGAACATGTGGACTAATGGACATCCGAAGAGGAAATCCATCACAATTGATAAACACCCTCTTCTTAAATAGTTGCTATAAACCCATTGGGTGTAATCCCCTTTACAAGAGGAGGAGAAACTTTTCCCTTTTTAAAAAGAAAAAAGATAAAGGTGGAGCAACAAATGTTAAGAAGAAAGAAAAGAAGGTATTCACAGAAGAAGAAATAGAGGAACTTCGTCGAAGAGCTAAGGAAAAATTACAACCCAAGAAAGGGGACGCTGATGGCATCTCTGGTGCTAGGACGAAGAAGGGGGGAAGAAGGAAAAAGAACACAGCACAAGTTAAGGGTGATAAAAAAAAGAGCGAAGAAAAATTACAAAAGTTGGATGATACGGAAGGTGCAGATCCCAAGGACGGAAATCTGACCGATTACATAAAAAGCAAAGAAGATTTTGACAAAATAGTAGACCTAACTAAAGATTTGATAAACGAAAAAGAGGTAGAATATATACACAAAATAAGCGACTGTGATGAGGAGTTATTAACATATGATAAGAGAGAAAAACATATTCAGCTGAATTTTGAAGACACCCTATTCGACGAGGGGAGCTACATGGACAATTACGTCAACAACATTAGCAAGTTTCGCTTTGACATTTACAACCTGCATAACAAGAACGAATTCGACAGAATTACCAAATATTTGAACTATCAGTACATAGAGGAAATACCCGTGGAGATGCCCACGGAATGCAGCTACAACATTGGGCTGAAAAAATATTTTTACCAAGTTGTATGCGACTTGGTTGAGAAGTACCGGGATAAGTTCCAGAATGAGCCGTACGTGGGTGGGGAGGAGCCGTCATGGGGACAGCATGCGGTAGGAGATCAGTCAGGGGGGAGCCAACCAAACGAACAGGAAATTCCCAGCTCTCGTTTGTCCATGCAGAAGGGCAAACTAAACCAGGACGGTGAGGATACAGGGGGGGCAGAAGACAACCAAACCTTGAACAATTTCCTGAAGGAAAACAAAAAGGAAACAAGCAAAACAACAACCATGGATAGGATAGAAAACATGGCCAACGTAATCCAGCCAACTCATGAAGACATTATGAACAAATATATGTCTCACGATTTGTATAATTTGCTATGCGACATTAAGGAGGAATATGAGTACATGTTTGAAAATGGAGGCTTGGAGAAATTCTCCTTTGATCAAAGCAGAAAAACACATAAGGAGAAGTTAATATTTTCCGGGAAAAAAAAAAGAGCGGTAGCTATGGTTTTTCTCCAAAGGGGAAACAACAATTTGATAATAAATAACAGGGATGGATATCAGTACCTGCAATACCAAATTTTTAACATAAATAAAATATTCAGCCCCCTACTGCATCTGTGCATGCACAGACATTTCAACGTCGTGGCAAAGGTCGTTGGAGGGGGGTTGTCTGGGCAGAGTGTGGCCATATTCCACGCCCTCGTAAAATACATCGTGTACAACTTGTCGCTAAAAATAAAGCCTTATTTCCGCTCCTTCAAGTTTATGACCGTGGACAGTAGAAAGGTGGAGAGGAAGAAGTACGGATTGAAGAAGGCAAGGAAGAGGAAGCAGTACAGTAAGCGTTAAGCGTAGTGGTGTTAAGCATAGTGGCGTTAAGCATGTTGGCGTTAAGCATGTTGGCGTTAAGCATGTTGGCGTTAAGCATGTTGGCGTTAAGCATGTTGGCGTGTTGCGAGGGGGATAGAAGTTTGTTCAGAGGGGGATAAAACTGTGTTGAGAGGGGTGCAAAATGTGGTCTCCCCCCATATTTGGAGCAATCATTCTCTTGTCCTGATCTTGGATGCACTCACAGGGGGGTGAACAGGTGTATATCTACATATATACTTCTCCACGCGACTGGTATGCGACCTACCTGTGTCAACTCTTACCCTTGTGAGCAAGCATGATGGTGAGCCCACTTCAGCTGAGCCACCCCCCAAATGGCTGTCGCAAGGGGGGGGTTAGCTCTCCCCCTGCGCGGCGTGGCGTGCCAGGCGCGCGCATACATAGGTAAGTAAGCGAGCATACATAAGTAACCAAGCAAGCGCGCACTTATGTAAGCAAGTCAACATGCAGGTATGTTTATACATTCTTTTTTTTTTTTTTTCCCTACTTGGCCTCTACATCGTGACGCCCTTACCTCATGTATACGTGTAAACTTTTTTTTTTTTTTAAGTGCATATAATGTGGAGCTCGTTTGGTTTGCGAGGTTTCCCAAAAAACAATTTCGTAAACGCAAAGTGGTGCAATAACTTTAGGAGGTACACTGCAAAAGAAGAAAAAAAAAAAAAAAAAGAAAAAGCCGAAAACTTTCTATGCAGAAGAAGGCCACAAATCCGTTTTGACTAAAGTTATGGGGAAATTTTCCCATTTCGATGGAGCGCGTGGTTTCTTCTTATGAGAGGTGGTCCCCTAACTCGTGCCATTTGCAGAGGGGCAGGCACATGTGCAACTTCCACGCCCAGGCACGAGGTTTGTTAAATGCCTCCGTGCAGAAGACATTCACCCCTGCAATGAAACAAGTTGTTGCAAGTAGGTTTGTATACCTTCTTTAGTTTCCCTCCCGTTTTCGCAAAAAATGGGCTGGAAATGTGCTGCAGGTGCGCTACAATCGTGCTACACAAGTGTGTCACAAGAGTGTTAAGAATTTTTTATTTTATTTTCTTTTTTCAGATTACCAAATTTTCGTAAAAAAAAAAAAAAAATCCAAAGAGATTGTACATTTTATCCTTACACGTACATGTACATACATTTCTACCTTCATACGTCGAAACGTAAAAATTAAGGAAAATTGTTTGACGCGACGCACAATTAATTGCCGTGAGAGGTTCAGTGAGTCCCCATAATCGTTTCAACGAGATCGACAGAAGTGAGCACTTACGGACATATCTAAACAAAGCAGCAATTCTCCAAAAAAAAATAAGAAGAAGCAAATAAAATCTGTTTTATAAACCCATTCCTCGAAAAAAAAGGAACAAAATGGAGTTCCTAAAAAATATGTTTCAACAACTGCTGAAGAAGAAGGACCAACTTATGGAGTGTTCAAAATTATCCGTATTGTTAAGCGACCCCTTCACGTTCTTTTTTATGTATGTCAGTAAAAAGGATGCCCTGATTTGTGCATTGACCCATATGAATAATGGAAAATGTGCAGTGCACACGGGAGCTCCACATGCATGTGCATCCATTCGTGACGTCAACCCTTCTCACATGCAACTAACACAGTATCGTGTGTGTAATGCGTCCACATAAAAGTGCGTGGAATCCACTTTTCCTCAGTTAACTGCCACCTTAACCGTCTGTCTTTCCCACCCCCTTCTCGCTTCCGCAGGTGCATATTTATGTTCTTCCTCACGAGCATAATGACATACCTGTACTGCTTCTGCAAGGGCTATGAAACGAGAAAGGTAACTGTAGCTGTGCATATAGAGCTCGCACATAAAAGCAGCTAATGAAGTAAAAAATCGCCAATCGGCATTACCCCCAAGGGGAGTTCCAACTAGTAGGAGTAAAAGAACAATATATTATTATTTTTTTTTTTTTTTTACGCAGAGTACCAGGATACACAAAATGTCTAAAAAGGTCAAATAAATTCGACCCGGACGTTACCGAAAGAATTTTATGTTGTAGGAAGTGTAAGAGAGCGCAAAGTCAGGTGTGACAGAGGTAGTGCCTATACATGTACATACACGCACAGATTAGGAGAAAAAAATTGACAAGATTGGAGGTTGAACGAAATATGCACACACAGGGAAAACTAAAGATGTCTCCTATAAGGAGGAGAAAATATATCTATAACACAGTACATTTAAGAGGTACACATAAAAAGGAGATGAAAGAACAAATTCATATGAAACCAATATTTTAACAGCTTTGTTCATTGCCATAAGAAACCTGTCTCTGATTTTTTAAAATGTGTAATCTCAATCTTTTTTGTCCACTGCCATTTTTACATCCTTACATGTTCATATACATGTATACAAAATAAACGAAAACTGTTTGTCGAGATAATAGAAAAAATACAAATATAGGAATTTATTTGTAAGGAAATAAATGATCATTCTCAATTTCAAAAGATTTGATTTGCCACAACATCCTGTGAAATCAGACATTTATAACTGATATGGATTACATTAAGCTAAGAACTACAATACAGATCCTTGAAGCAGGAAACGAAAAAAATTTCATGGGGGAAGTTATTTTAATTGATATAGAAATGTTTTTTCCTCTGAGGCCACATAAGTGTACACATAGTAGTTGGTCTGTTTTTGCACATATTAAGAGTACTAATGATCAGTTCAAATTTATGTAGAGGTTTCTGGAGGATGATTTATTACACGCACAGGAGTACAAGTCATTTCTGCACCGAAGCAGACGAAGTAACAGGTTCATTTCTGCAAATATGCAACAAATATATATAGATAACTTTTATTGCCACAGATGATTAATTAAGAGGAGAGATATCTAGGAAAAGAATTGAAACCGTTCCTGAAATTACCTCTATAATACTGTAACGATGCGTATCTGAAGGTGCAACTCAGCAACTAAATATTTATATAGTATCAATTTGAGCACACCATACGTATGAACATAAATATTTACATCATAAGTAATACGGGGAGAATCTTTATATAGTTAAATGCTACATTCAGATGGTAATGGACAGGGAGAGTTACAATCGGATTGATGAACGCCATATGAGTGATATCTATTCTGTCTTGTGATAATACAAGACACTAGCCATGTTCAAGTAAGCAGTGAATTTAGAAGGATTGCCGCGTAAGAAATACGAATGGATAAGATTTCAGAATTTCATTTTTGTGATTGGTTAGTATAAATCCTAACAAAATGAGTTCAGTATTTTATAGGAATCATAGGTTGGACTCTTACAAGTACGATCGGACACCATCTCATCTTTCATGTTACGCAAAACAAAGCATGAATAATGGTTTCAGAAATATCTGGGGAATCACCAAAGAACTATGTACCAAAAATGGGAAAATGCGAAAAGTGTGCATAGCTGAATTCGTTCAAAGATGTATTTGGAGGTTCAAAGAATTTTATGTTAACGAAAATGAATTCGCATCCTATACTATCAGCACTCTTTTTCAATGCAAGTTATACATATAAAGAGAGAGCTGATAAAATCACCAACACACAGAAGCATCTGGGACAGTCTAGGTTACTCTGCGTAACTGAATCGTTCAAGCACTTGCAGTAGAGCGGGGAGGAAACGAATAAAGGAAGAATACACGCACAGGTTTCATGTAGGTTTATGCAGGTATATGATGGCGTATGATGCACGTAATACATTCTGTTCAGGAATAATTAACGATTTGCGCCATTCCTCGGAAATTGAAAGTCGAAGATGTAAGTTGCATAAAATAGGAAGTTACTCACGACATCTGCTCTTGGTGATGAATTCTTGATGTATAACTAGAAATAGTTGGATTCTGGCTAAGGGCTATACAGTAAAAATAAGGGACATAAGGAGAAGGTCGATCATATTTTGCATTGGCTATTGCTTTTAGCTCTCGGAAAAATTTAATGAGTTCCCTAGGCCGTGTTTAGAGGGAAAGCAGATTTTCAAGAAAAATGTTGGAATCCTTGTGGTTTAATAAATTTATGCTATTGCGATAGAATCCGAAATCGAAGACGAAGTTCCTAAATATAGTACCCATGCATCAGCTGCTTGTGTCTCATATTTCAGGGATTTCAGCGTGTTGAACACTGCATCCTGTTTCACAGTTTATTGGTAAAAATTGCTTAAAGTTGGGACGCTGTAATGTTTAATTCAGATTCCTGAGGTGCTTGAAATATGTGCACATACATAATGCTCCTATAGTACTTCATATATGTATTAATAATCGCGAAGTAATTTGCGCTGAGAGAAGAACACTTTGGAATGAATGAAACTAATAACACGTATATGTAAATCCAGTGTATTAAGAGGTATGTTGAAAGAATAACGCCTAGAAGCGTTGTTTACATCATATCTGCGCGTATTATTGTGTCCTTTACATCTGACCGAGTTGAAACCTTCTGTTTCCTAAATGAGTGTAACAGTCTCTTCTAGAAAGGGGAATATTATATGTATAATAGGATAGTGGCCACAGGCGATGACTTTCTGAAGATTTATTATTACCAATTAAAGCTCTCCATCTTTTCTCTTTAAGGATGTGCAAAACGTTTTTGTGAGTTGTGCACAAGGACACCGTTCATAGTTCTACACTTCGAAAGGTACTTCGTGAATGTTAAATCCGGAGTTGCCATCACTATTCTGATTTGTAATATCGTGCGATTTATCGTAATTAGTTTTGTCCAAATCAGAATTCTATTACATATTATCGTAAAAGGCCAAACCATAAGATGGAAAATCACTACTATATAGCATTGCCATAATATGATAAAAATTCATTCCTTAAAAAATTTTGGAAGCGCATGAAATCTGTTTCGTGTCGTGTATTTCCTGAATCATCATATTTGAATACATTACACTAACAAGAATGGTGGTTAGTAGTAAATGATGGATTGATCCGATTTCCAGGAAGTCGATGCGTGGTTCATTCATGAGGTCGCTATTTACATGTCGTATAATCAGAGTCCAGCACGTTCGTTAAGTTCTGTGTTCAAGCAGCTCCTGTATGTGCTTCCTCCTTGGGGCACCTGCAGCCTTCAGGAGGGTTGTGGCCTAGATGGGAGAATATTCAGCAGCTTTTATATATATGTAGCATCTGCTCTCCTGGACATAGGAAGGAAACTCTAGAGAATGTATTTAATGTTGTGAGCCACTATACTTCTCAGGTTTCGTGATATAAAATTTCCATTAGAATGGACATGTGAAATATGGTAAGCGCTCGAAGTTCTTATTAATATTGTCTATATGTTAATTCATGAGTATTTTCTCAAGTGCGTACACAGAGGACTAGTGGGCGGACTGTTCAAAATAGAAATAACTTTTATTTGTTTTATTTGTTGCACTGCTTCCATTTAGGGTTAATAGACAACGCCGATAAGAAAAAAAGGAGGGTATAGGAAATTTTTTTTCATTTTTTGTTTTTAATAATATTCTTGTCATATTCCCATCGTTCGTGTACTATAGTTCTTTCTTCTTTTTTTTTTCTAACGTCTTCTTCATTTTTAGTAGTTAACACGGGTGACATAGCAATAGGAGAAATACATAGGTATGGAAAAAACTCTTATTCAATAAATATTGCTTTCGCATAGGAATTCACATAATATGAATGAAATTTTGTAAAAATAATTTTAAAAAATATGTATCATGAATAGTTCTACATGTGCAAACGACATTTGTAATTGGTTCGTGGAGACGAGAAACTACCAACATACCAAGCATATATGTGTTTAGGCAATATACGTTGTTTTATAAATAGTTGTGCACAATTCATTTTGGGGGGTACCGAAGATTATAGTATTTTTTTTTTCCTTGTTTCTATAAATTAGAACAGAATTTTTATTTAATTTGAGAATGTGCACTTATGGTAATACGTTGTGAAGTCGTAGTTCCGGATTGAAAAAGAATATATTCGTATATTTCCTTTTCGAAGAGTGCGCATAATTAGCACGGGTGTAGTGTACTTCCTCTGGGACGTGGTATCTAAATTTACACAATTGTTCAGAATGAACAATGTATTCTGAAAATTCCTATTGTTATTTTATATTTTCTGAAACTTGTTCCTAATTTCACCTAAGTGGAAGGAGTAGTAATATATTGATGTACAGCAATGTTCTTTACATTGTGGCACACTAATCCTTCTATCTTGAAGTCTTCACATAAGAGGGTGCAGGGACATCGGCAGTGTCCACATAATAATGCTCCTGAGGGGGTCGATCAGTTTTATATACATCACAATGCCTCAAATAAGTGTGAGCAGGACATACTAGTAGTTGAACTAGATACATACGTGTGACGCAATTACAGTTTTTCTACAAGAGTCATTCTTGCAGATCAATTCGCATCAGTCAATAGTGCTCTTGAGATATGAGAATCCAAAACCTAAACGTGAATCCTCCTGCTTATTCTAGAAAAAAATTGTTATAACAGTTTTTACATGATTGGGATCCTTATTAATCTCAAGAAATTCCCACCCCTTATCATATGTGCACTATGTGTATTGTGGACACTGAAGTTTTCTTATCTTCTTGTCTTCTACCCTTATGTCATATATATACAATAAGTCTGCGACAATTCTCTTGCAACGTTTCTTTGTAGTCTCAGTATTACTGATATGTCATAAATCCCACACATTACTGATTTGACCACTATGGATTATATTTCTATTAAACTTTTCGAATTTTATGTTAAAAGGGAAATATCGTGAAGGGACATTCTCCAGGGTGAAAGGAAAAATCAGTCATTACAGTACATAAGTGCTCATTTTAAGTAAAAAACATTTACATCCAATTCACATGATTTTCCTGTGATTCACATAAGAATATATTTGAAGCACATCTTAATAAAATAGGAAAGTTTACACCTTCTGCTGTATTTAGAACAGCCACCTTGTCCTACCTTATTAAAATGATATGATACAACAAGGGACTATTCTGTACACGCATCTTCCTGTATAATACACTCAGATAGTTCTCCGCATAGTATACATATCCTGCACACCCATTTTAGAAAGCGAATAAAAATTAACATCTTTCGATACTGAACCTAGTATAGATGACACTTATAATACGTCCAACACTGTAAAAAAAAAAAGAAACACTTAAAATTCATAAATACAGTCTTTGAATTAGAACAATATAGGACATTGTGTATAGAATAATAGTACGCTCAATGATAAAAATTTTCCAAATTCCAACGGACCAATAAGAAGCATATCACTTCGCTTTTTACAACATGAAATGCTTAATTTTATTCTGTGGTCTAGAAAATTGCCGTACAATGCATATTAAAATACATACTTAAAGTATCCACCCTTTGTTTTGTAATTCTACATATAAGTAATATTTTTCCCCCGAAAAATCATATACACCCCAGTTTCTAACTTTCTTGAGATCATATCGAACTCAAAAATGTTCATGACCGTCTAGTTTTCCTCAGAATACTTTCCTTCTTTGAAAAGTCAATATTATACATAACTCTGTGAACGGAATACTTTTCTAAATGCTTCCCACAATATTACCACAACCTGGAAAAAAAACAGTAAATAGCATTGCTTTTATATGGTCCTAATAATGCCACACAATGAGGAATGAATAGCATTTCCTATAAAACAACTTTTATCTACCGCGAAAAATCATTCTTCATGTAATTTTCAATTACTTCTAAATCCATCACAATGTAAATTTAGGTGACCACTTCAGCCCATTTTTTCCTCATTACGTAAAAAGTGAAAATGTTCCTATTCTGTTCATTCTTCCAACTGTGTCTGTAATTGAATATTAAATATTCCGACGTTATTTTTACTCGAAAAAATTAAATTTATAATAGGAACATATCTGCTATTCGTTTTAAGGAAAATCAGAAGAAGAAAAAATTGCCATGTTAAATAATTTATTATCTCCCAAAAAAATGTATTGTTCTTACATTTTTCCGTAATTAAATTTATATTCTTGCATACATATATTAGTACTCAAAAGTAATCTTAGAATATGAGTAATCGCACTGCCCAAAAGAAAAGAAAAATCTGTAATCAGTTTATACCAGGTTCTTTTAGTACATAAAAAAAATAACATACTTCAGTATTTATCGCATCTACCAGAATTTTCTATTTCAGATGTTTATGTTATCTTTATAGGAAATATGGTGACAGCTGTGTCTTCATTGTAAAAGAGATAACAAAAAAGAATATTTACATTTCTATGCCAATTTCTGGCAAACATTCTTAGAGTAGGAAAAAAATAAGACTCATTCAAAATATAAGGCCTTCTCTTAAGCATTATATTGTTTTTCTATCTTAAGCATCTTCACATCTGTAGGGGTCCAGCGAAATATATTTCTAGGTAATGCGAAATCGTGGAGTTAATAAGTTTTATCTGATTTTTCACATATACTGTACAACGTTTCGCACATGTGTAACGTAGGCATAGAGGGGAACCTTCTACAAGAGTCGTCCCATCGGGAATAACTGCGAAAGGATCCCTTTAGAAAATATTTT